AATAAAAGCTCGGGTCTCAGGAGGTTAAATCAGTGTTACGGTCACTGACCTCTAGGGGCTCTCCTATCAGGAGTAGTTTTTTCTTTGTGTTTCAGTTCCACCTGGCTACTACAGGTGGAATGTGTTGGATCTCATCAGCCACCCCATAAAGAGATCCAAACCAGAGATGTTTAGGCCCTTTTATTTCCCTGGGCCTTGATCTGAAGGGATCATGTCAGTGAACTGACTTTGAGATTTGGGATAACTTTGCCGTGAGCTTTTGTGTGAAACTTAAAGTGTTTATAATTTCGTTTTCTTCACAGTGGAAGCTGGTAGGGGGTTCTGTGCCATTTTGTTTAACCGTTTTTCTCCTGTTTATTGGTTAGCCAGGGAGTCCAGGTTTTGTACTTTGTTTTCAGTCCTTTTCTAGAAAGTGTTTTTACTTTATAATTAAAAGGGGGATGTTTTGTTTGTTGTTTTGGCCTTGGAGACCCTGAAGCTAAAAGCTTCCCTGTGTATGTTTATTGTGACTTTATGTTGAAATATCAATTAAATTATCTTTTTTCCTACTGAAACCAACTGCTCAGGGTACCTTATTTTGTGTTAGACCCAGTGCCAATTTTTACCCTTGGTGGTCTTGGGGGAGGGGTCGTAACACACAGGATGAAACTGGTTTGACAGTAAAACAAAGTGCAGTTGTTCCTCTGTTTCACGAAACCAAAAAGGTGTGAGGTCACAAGGATCACTAATGGGCAGTGGTGGGAAGTAACGAAGTACAAGTACTTCGTTACTGTACTTAAGTACAATTTCCGTGTATCTGTACTTTACTTAAGTAGATTTAATAATGGATACTTTCTACTTTTACTCCACTACATTTAACAGTAAGTATCTGTACTTTCTACTTCACTACATTTCTATACAGCGTTTCGTTACTCGTTACATCCAAGACGCATTTCGGTTTTTTGATTTGTTCGTTAGTTTGAAAGTATCCAGAATCAGTCCGCTGAACCAATCCAAAGCGGGAAATAATCATTAGGCCCTCCCTCAAGAAGAGCAGCACAGTACCAGGACCTGCATAAAATATCTAAATCTAAACTGTCACAGGGGGTAAACACAATAAAAACATGCTTTATCTGCAGCATTGCTCATTAAAATGGTACATTACTGATTTATTAAAACTAAATACGATAGGTACACTTAATGACATTATATAAGCCGTTAGCTATTACGGTTGGCAAGTACTTTTACTTTTAATACTTAAGTAGCTTTAAAAGCTTGTACTTTCTTACTTTTACTTAAGTAAAATAATAATGTGGTACTTTGACTTTTACTTGAGTAAAGTTTTGTCTGGGTATTTGTACTTTCACTTAAGTACATTGTATGAGTACTTTCTCCACCACTGCTAATGGGTCAGCTTCTCATTTCTGCAAACCAACTTGTACTTTTGATAACAATTTCTTGCTATCACACACGCACAGTTAAACCTTTACATTCACACACACATATGTAATTAAGAGAATGCATGATAACTCTTGTACAATTATTATAACAGTACCCTAACTCACCTAGCCCTCATTATCCCACCACTAACCTCCAACCAAGATGGCCCCATGATAATCCAGACCCCCCAAAGGAAAAAAAGGGGAAAGGGGGGAGAAAAAAACAAAAACAAAAGGTAATAATAACTGGAGGTGGGATGAGGGAGGCTCTCTGGGATTAAACAACACGATGTCAGTTCATTAAACCTGACTTGATGAGTCTCTTTTCTGTATTTGTCAAATAAAATATATTCTTCAACCCATCTGTAGCTCCTCGTTTCCACGCCTCAATAACGAAAAAACAAAAACAAGTTAGAAGAACGTGAGGAACTTAGAGGATTACAGTATCATCACTTTTTATAATTCTTTTGAAAATAAAGCGTTTTTGTTTTGTGTTTCTCTGAGAGTATCAGGTTGATTTCTATCATTTTCCATCTCTAATTGTACTTCAAATGAATGGTGTTTCCAGCTTGTTGTGTCAGAGACACTAAGTAAAGCAGAGTTGGATTTAGATTTACTAGATTGGCAAAGTTGGACCTGAAATAAAGGCAAATTTCTCTCTGTCTGCTTGTCTGAACCGATATCCCTCAGTCCAGATCCCAGAGAGTCCGATTTATGCTCCGAGTTTCAAATTAGAACGCGTTTAATGAGATATTTTGATTTCCCAGACACCTGAAGGATTACGCAGGGAGGGGCTTAATGCCAATCTCATTTTTCACATTCTTCTCCCCACTGGAAGAATTTCTTTGGTCTAAACTCAAACATAGAGGTTTGCCAGAAAAGCTGTAATGATGTAAAGTAGTAGATCTATAAGGAAAACTATAAGCTAACAGTGTTTTAATGCAACTCTATGTATTTACGCACGCTTTGAATTGCTTTTTTCTCATTTATTCTCGTGTCTTTTACAGTGGTTTCATACTCAGAGAACCCACAGTGACCCCCCAATTGCTTAATGCCAATCTCATTTTTCACATTCTTTTTCTCAATGGAGGAATTTCTTGGATCTAAACTCAAACATAGAGGTTTGCCAGAAAATCTTTAATGATGTAAAGTAGTAGTTCTATAAACAAATCCATAAGCTAAAAGTGTTTTGATGCAACTTTGTTTATTCACGCACACTTTGATTAGCTCTTTTCTCATTTATTCATGTGTTTTTTACAGTGGTTTCATTCTCAGAGAACCCACAGTGACCCCCCCAAAATCCTGCATAACTTCCAGAGACAGTAAAGAAGAAGAAGCTTGTGTTTTAGTTTGAGTTTAACCCGGTGAATGGCCGGCCAAAGGTTGGCTCTGCCTTTGTGTTCAGCAGCCCGGGGCAGCAGAGCGGAGCTCTTTTATGGGTTGATTTATAATTGAAAGCTGTGTTTACATCCGCTCTACGGCCTCCATAACACAGAGAGCAGCTCACAGCCCGGGGAGGGAGGAGCCCCAAAAACTGGAGCCATTAAAAATGGATGTTTTCCCTCCTCTTTATTTCATCAAACTTGGAGAGAAGTCAAAAGTTGAGCTGGTCGCATTGTGTTGGGTTTGTGTTTGTTCAGAGGTCTTTATAGTTATGATAGTCTATAAAGGTAAACGAATAATCACATTTTTCTTATTGGACATTTGGAGATTGGGGAATGTGGATGAAAGCTAATAAACAATCATTAATCATGGAACCAACACATTATCAATTTTTCAACAGTTTTTTACTCTTGAATGAAAATGTACTGTAAGAGCACCCGGGAGTTTAGACATAAAGTCAATCGATCCTGAAAAAAATGACTTATTTCCTATTTGTACTTTTTAATATTCTCTTTATAAGAGAATATTTTATGATTGATGCATTGTGTGTTTGCAAAGGAAACCAATATTATAGCGGAATAACTGAAGCCAAAGAATTAATGAGCGCTTTCATTTCCAAAAACAAATAACAGACTTGAAAATGGATGAAAAAAGTCCAATAGTCTTTATCTCGAAAGTACCCAGATTCCTTTTTTTTCTAAATACTCTGAAGTTGGAACCTGAAAAAAAGCACATTTTGACCAGGACTATAGAGCAAATTTCTGTACAACACATGTTTTTGTTGTTATTTTTTATTCCCTATTCCAGATCTTCTACCAGTTCCAGTTTTCTGTTAATCTACTCTTTCACCCTAAAAGTCTTAATCAGTTTCAGTCCGAATACTGATCAATGAGTGAGAGGGAAAGGCTTAATGAAGCATGGCTCATTACCTGCTTTGCTCTGAGAAGTCTTTCCCATTCAGCGGATTAACTGGATGGATCTGCAGTTATTCATCTCCTCCTGTGTAAAATAATTCATTCATAATAGTCCTCTTTTCCCTCACCGTCCATTTCCCTCTTTAACTAAAATAATCTCTTTTAAATTGAAGTTATCTCTACATTTGTCATATTGTATGTGTGGCCAAAGCCCACCCTGAGCTCCTTGAATATATTGCATTTAATTTAAACGGTTTTGTACACGTTGCTTATTTAAACTGGGCATTAAATCTGGGTCTAAACTATGTAATGGTTGTTGAAAAAGCCTCAGCAGAGCCTTTACAGACAAACCGAGGAAGGTCCGCCCACAAAAAAACCGAGCACTTTCATTTAAGACACTCAACGGAGAACTGAACGTTACACTTGAAAGCCGCTTGAAACTCGACTGAATGGAAGTGAGTGTATAACTGTGAGTGGTTTTCCTCATTTTTAAAATGAAAAAAAAGAGAGGTCAGGTCAGCCCAAGATGAAAGAAGTCCTGGAATCACATGTTGGAGTTGAAACAAAACTGGTGTTCACATGTTTGTCAAATGGATTTCAAATGTGGAAGGACTTCAGATAAGAGGAGCTTCCCTTTAAAGCTTTGGTTTGTGAGGCTTTCTTCATGTAAAAGCAGAGTGCGCCATCTAGTGGTTCCTCAGGGCTCTACATTAAGGTTTCTAAACTTTTAAACCCAAAACCCCAAAATTAACAGTGTGAAAAATTCCTAATCTCCAGAGACGGATAAGGGCTCATGAGGGCAGATATGTGGACTATTGTTGGTGTTTTGGATCAGATTGTGAAGAAAAGCTCATGTCCAGTCATGATGTACTGTACTTATCAAAGTAAGTTTTAAAAATAAAATTATTTTCGTATTTTTATAGGAGTTATGGCTACATCCATGCTAAAAATGAAGTAAATACTATAATAAAAACATTATAAAAATAACACAGATATATAAAAATTTGAGGATTTGTTTTACTCTTTAGATGAAATATATAGATTTTTTTTTTTACTCATGTTGATCATTTTTATTTATTTTTTACAGGAAGTTTCACATACATTATATCAAAAACATACATGACGTTTAAGGAATTTAATTTCTATTTTATCACCTTCCAAACACCAAACACAACCTAACATTTAAAATGGGAAGCTGATAGTTTCTGGGGTCGCTGTAAAAACATCAGTATGTATCCGGTGTTGTAAATAACTAGAAGAACAAACTGAAAATCAACCTGTGACTTCAGGCCTCGCTGAAAAAATCTAACAGGGAGTTTAAATCATAATTATTGAGTATCTCCAACAACGAGGACACCTTTGATTTCACGTTCTGTCCCTTGAACTTGAATTTATCAATGAAGAGGTCGGTGATCATTCCTGGAAGAAAGAACACACAAAATATCAATAATCCGAAGGTCTTAACGATGCTAAATTACAGTGAGAATGAAGATAAATGAAGGTGGGCAGTAAAACTTCACCGTAAAGCCTCTCGAGGTGAGCTGGCTGCTTTTTGTACTCCTCCAATAAATCAGCCGACTCGTCCAGGATGCTGCGATACTCCGGGATCAGGAAGTCGGCGTTCCCTTCGTGAACCTGAAGTTCCTGAAAACCACAGAAGAAATGGTGAAGAAATGGTTAAGAAATGATGCAAAGTCAGGGTTCCATCTGAATCTATGCATCTAGCAGAATCAGAATCAGAATTAGAATCAGAATAAGAATAAGGTTTATTGCCAAGTAGGTTTTTAGACTTACAAGGAATTTGCCTTCTAATCTACCAGGATACAGGTATACTTGCCCAACGACACCTGCCCTGGAATCAAACCACCAACCTATCCAATGGCAGGTGGCTGGTTTTTCTACTTAGCTACAGCTGCATTAATATACACATATTAGCCTCCTGCTTCCTTTAAAAAACCTCAAGGAATGAGTGAAAGTGTCGCTTTTAACTACACATTTAGACACATGAAAGTGGTTCAAAGTGATTCTAATAAACATTAATCCTGTAATGCCAAATGTATCATATTTGATACGTAAGGTTTCTGAAATGTTTTGCGTCTGACACCTTTTGCATAATTTAATGGTAAAAACTTTGCTCAAAATGATAACCTGATAACAGGGGGCAGAAGACTACACAAAAAATAATCTTGACTTATCGCATAGTAATAAATTATTAACCCTTTATAGGGCACTTAATGAAACACTTTAAAATAAAAAAATTCAACCTTAGAGTGTTATTGGACAACATAATAAGACTTTTTTACATTTGTGACATTCTCTTAAATTTTTTACTATAACTAACGTGCGGAAATTCCCCAAAACAGTCACTTGTCCGATAAAAGGTTAATATAAAAAATGTATTTCTGTTTTTTCTTTTTACTTATTTTGTTAAAAGGCCAAATAAAGACTTCAAACAAAAAAAAAAGTAATTTTCTGTTTTGTTTTATTCTTGGATTGGGTTTTAAAGGGTTAAACCCCGAAAAACGGTAAAATTAGCTTTCTTGTCTGAAGCAGAAGGATTTCTCTGACCGATACTTACTTTCAGAGCATCAATAAGCTGGACTTTCCTGGCCAGCAGCAGCTGAGATTCCAGCTTTGGGTGGATCATCCTGAGGGTGTGGCTCACCGAGTCCTCACTGATATCTGGGGAATGGAAAAACAAAAAACAACAGTAATGTGACCGGTTTAACAAAGGACAACAAATGTTGTAATGTAATAAAGTGTAATAAAGAGGTAGGCACATTTCTCCATGCATTATGGGAGTATCCCTTGATAATGCCCTTTTGGAAGAGTCTGCACAATTTTGCCTTTTAGGACACGAGTCATTGATGCCAGAGGGCATCTCAAAAGCTGAAGGTAGGCGAAAGATGACAGGTTTTCTAGTAGCAGCCAGAATTATTCTTCGTAAATGGAAGAGCCCACTTATCCTCCTGAGACCTGGCCCATTCATTTATGTCCATTATAGTGGACATTTTGTCCACCTGTACCCCCCCTAAGTATCTGTAGTTACCCTATCAAGCCCTATAGTGTTCTGTAGAGGACATCCTGGGCTTTCCAGTGATGTGCCATGTGATAGCTTTGCATGCTGGGAACTTTACTTTTTTCCTAAGAGTTCTTAGGTAAATATCCCTTTCAAGACATCTTTTTTTATTATTTAATTATCTAAAGCCTGTTTTATTTTCCCATGCAAATCGTCCAGTTGTCCTCCACAGTGGACATGCTATGAAATTAAAATTAAAAATATTATTTTTTAAATTTAAATTGTAATGTTCTTTTTTAGGTCCAAATACATGGAAAATCACAAAAAAAAGAAATTTGAAGACACTTTTTTTCTTTGGGTCTCAGGAGGATAGACCAGAAATCAAGGACTGGCTTCAGCTTATGTCAGAGACAGCTGCTTATGAGGTCACGATTTCTAGGGTGCAGAAAGAGCCAAGTAAAGCTGGCCAAGCATGGGTTTATTCTGAGTACAATTTTGGTAAAAGTTCTTAAGGGATTCTGGGTGTGATGTATGCTGCGAGTATGAATATGTGCATTGCTATATCTATGAAAAGGTAACTGATAATGGCTGTCATGTTCTGTGTTGCTGCTGGTGTTTGTGTTTTTGTTGTTGAATTTCATCCGTTTGTAACTGTGTCATAAAAGAAAAATACATTTAAAAACTTTATTAATTTTTTTTTAAAAAAGTAGTGCGACCGTTTGTCTGCTTTTCAGCTGACAAAACACATTGAGGAAGAAATGGAAAAAAAAGGAACAAACCGTATGAAATGTTCAGGTTGATTTTCTTCTTGGTGGCCTCTTTGGAGAGAACGTCGCTCAGAATAGAGATGGTGGAGATGTTGTCGGATTTGAAGTGACCCTCCCCTTTACTGGAACAGAAAAAACTCACGTTCAAAGCCATTTTGAGATATTTTAAAGGTATTTAAAACACTGTGTGTTGGCATTTACCAGTATGTGGCTTCGAGCTGTGTGCCCAGGAAGGTGTTGTGGAAATAGAAAGTGATGGCCTCTCCTGCCGGGGTTTTTTCAGG